ATGTCACCATATTCTAAGAGAGGCAGAAGCCACCAGAGATGCTGAAATTTAATACATAATTCCTTCTACACTAAGGCAAAAACTGAGCATACATTCTGTTTGGTATAGTTTTCTCCTTTCCTAAGAAAGGGATCACAAAAAATTGTGACCCTTCTTCCAGAACAGGCATGGCTAAGTAACCAACTGAAGATATCTGTGAGATCCAAGGAAACCCAACATAGCTCCTCTGAAACTTCTATATTTAGCAGAGGCAGTCAAAGGAGAGGAGGCACTAAAATCTAGTCTAGAAAATCCATTGTTTCCTCAGCAGCATCACAGAAATAAGGGCGTACTGATATGGCTCATCCATACCTTTGGTTTCGTTTAGCAGCATCTGGTTGATAGACACTCCAAGGTGGGTGCCGTGATCTGACATACCTGTATTTTCTAATTTAAAATTTGAAAAAAATCCCTCATTTTCCTGTTGCCAAATATCAAGACACCACATGAATGAGAGATGCCAACACTGAGTTGAAGTATAATACAAGTAAAACTGAAGTGCCTTCCCAAACTTCTGAGTCAGACTGCTTCTTGGTCACAGCTTTGCTAAAGAAGGTTTGGCTTCCATACAAACAGTCTCGATTTTAACAGCTGTATCTGACTGTACGAGAAGGATTAAAGCACCAGAGAATCTGGCAAAAGTAGAGCCGAACACAGGCTTATCAATAGACAGTTTTGATTCTATACCTTTGAGATCAGTCTCACAACCTGAAAAAGGAAAATTCCTCCCAGAAAGTGGGTCAAGTCATTAGTAGTCAATTGTTAAACAAGAAGAGGCAGGCATCAGATTCTTATATAAGAAGGATAGGTTTTTTTTTAGTTTTAAAACCGCAGGATTGAACTATTCTGACCGGTAAATGGCTTGTAAGTCCACTTACAGGCAGGATTGAAAAATTTTTTGTTACAACTGAAGTGAATATCTGTTTTAGTGGAAGGTGTTTCTATCCATGATGGTGGGACTGAAACTACATGGTCTGTAAGGTCCCTTGCAACACATTCCATGATTCTGTGACTAGTGTTTCTTGATGTAGTGGCAATAATGCAGTTTTTTTTAAAAAAAGGAAAAACAACCAAACCAGTTTTAGAAAGTATCCTAAGGAAATATTCCTTCTTCAAAATAGCTTTAAATTGTTTTAATTCTTGTCACAAAACTAGCTCTTTGCTAGTCTTCCATTATCTGAATTTCTAGTGTCTGTAGATTTTTCAGTTGTTTTTAATCAACTGTTTTACCTGAATAAAACCTAAGAATTATGAGCTTCTTTTGCAGGACAGGGGATAAGGAAGAGAAGCACCCCCACCAAACCAAGCAGATATAGCAATAAATCAAGCTCATTTTAAAGCCATCTTTCTGTGGGTGGCATATCTTGACAGTAAGTTTCTATGTAATTCTGTTCAGCACTTTTTTCTTTTTATCCGACATCCAAGGTGAGTCTGTTTTAATTCTGGAAAGAATTAAAGGAAAGAATTAATTCTGGACTAATTCTGGAAAGAGGATTATCAATTGTTTGGGATAGTAAATCCAAGTCAGTTGGCATAACGCATGGCTCAAATTCTCATCTCAGTGGGTACTTTCAAGAGTTGTGTCACCTCTTTATGCTACCTGTCTTCCACTGCTGCAGCACAGTCACAGATAGAGGATTATCACAGTTTTATCCCCTCATCAGCATCTGGTCACCACCAGTGCTCCTACATAAAACTATGCATTAACAGACAACCAGTAATCAACTCTTTATTTTCACCTACCAGGGCTGGGTTTGTGCAGCCTTCAGACCAAGCTGCTTTCAGTCAGTATCAGTTCATACTCCCTAACTCTTTAAAACCAGGAGGCATGTTGCATCAGCAAGAGGGTAGGCAGGAATTCTTCAGTTATGAGAGATTAGCTATTTTATAATTTAATTTTAGTGTGATACTTAATTTTCTACAGAAAATGTCAGAAGCCACTTCCCCTCCCATTCCCTTATGCAAAGGTCACCACTTTCTTTCTGTCATGTAAGAAAGCTGTAAGAGCCCTTCTGACTGTTTAAGGCTAAGGAAAAAATCACCAGGACTCAAGCAGCTGGTAAGGAACCTAAGAACTGATAAGCATCTTGCTCTACTATGCTAAGAGAAAATAATACAGTCCTGAGTTCACAATTTGGCTCTTGGGAGGGCACTGGAAGGCGAACTAGGATTCACCCATTGCTGTAAAAAAAGTAAGTGCTTTGGTTTTGAGTCAGAAGTTAGTACAAGACACACAATAGCAAAAGCTGGCAGAACAAGAACCAGACTGCTGACTTTGAATAGTGTTCATTAACTAATTGAATGCTTACCTAAGTTTTTTCTGCAGGTTTCTGATCAAGAGAAAGCAAGCCTCTGGTAGAGCATCTTTCTTTATGTTGGGGAAAATAGAAAGTGACTGTTGCAAAGAAGAAAGCACAACAGGAGAGGAAAGATTTTCCCAGTTTCAGTAACAATTATGTTTCCAATTAACTGAGTGTCAATTCAGTAAGTACCAAGTCATAGTATCTGGTGGATAGTATCACTGAAGACAAACTGCTCTTTCACATATACCTGTTACAGCTTTACAATATATTCATGCACAAGAAAAAGTATTTAGCACCCACATGATGTGGAAAATAAGAATGGTGACACATATGTCAGTGAGTCACAAATAATAGTGGAGGAGGTTTTATTTGAACTAGGGCAATCAGGAAGTGCTAACCCACATAGAAGGAGCCTTCCCTGACTGAACAGCAATACCTTAATTGCCACCGACACTGCAGCCTTCAGCAACAGCACAAGTAAACACTCCCAAGACAGAAGAACAGCACTGAAAGCAAAACACTGTGCAAGGGTGTACAGGGTGGTCCAGCCATCTCACCCCCACAGGTCACACCTTGCAAAAGCAAATTCACCGTGTCCTATACATATGCATCTGCTGTTTAGCATGTAGTCATGTATCACAAAACATTCCAGCAGTCTTTAAACAGCAAGCTGAAAGTGATGTGACTGTTTACTATTTCTGGGCTCAGTTCACATGTCCTTCTGTTTGGAAGGACTGGAAGTCTTTCCCTTACTCAGAAGTAGTTTCATTTAAAAAAAAAAAAAATAATCATCATAGGGTATAAAGATTGTCATAGTCTCACCTTCCCCATAATCACAGGGTGGGACATGGAAAGGAAAAAAAGATGAAATCTCTACACAAACATAACTATATTCCACAGCAATTTTAAATTTAAGTAATTCTTTACTATTTTCAATACATTGCAAAAAAGTAAAACAGAGCAGCAAGGGTTGAATTCTTTAGAAGGCTTCAGTTTTCTAATCTTGGGTTAGACATATTCTTGCATTACACCAGCAATCACATATTGACAAGTATACTCCCCCATTACTTATAATAGCTTGTCAGTAATTGCAAAGTCAGGCAAGGGACTAAAGAAATACAGTTGTGTTGTGTTCCACCCCTGCACTCAAGTTAGGCGTGAATTTCAACAAGTACAGACCATATGAAAGTCATCCCAGAGTTGTGACAAAAAGTGTTTTCCTTATAGCTCTGCAGAGCTTCCTTTAATCTGTCTTTGTGAGAGTCTGATCTAGAGATAAATGTATTTAGCAGTTCTTCCACTGATTGCATGAATATTGCCATGTGTTTCCCAACTTTGTTCTTTAAGTGATGTTTACCTGCCTTAATGAAAAAGGAGCCTGATTTGCATCCAAACAATAGACCTGTAAGAGTGGCAGAGTATGTGTGTGTGTATATATATATATATGTGTGTGTGTGTGTGTAGTGCCTAATGAAAACACCAGTTGCACACTGACTAATTAATCTATTCTAATATGCTGTCATTTTTTTACATGACAGTTTGGAAGTGTAATAAACCATAAGAACCAAGCCTCAGTATCTATCTTTGAAAAATGGTTTTACTGCTGTCTAGAATGCCAATCTCTGCCATGCTATATAAAATGTCTATCAGAAAACCAAGGAGAGAGAAATCCATCAGAAAACCTAGGAGAGAGAAGTAACAGAAATGTGAGGGAGAAAGAAATCCTGCAGTCCAGGCCACTCATGCTTTCCAGTGCCAGAAGCAGCTGAGCACTGTCCACTGGAGCACAGGGAATAAGGGAGGTGCTGCCTGCAGCACTGCAGAGCTGCATGCGGACATGCAGCACACACACACCCAGCACTGCAGATCAGCACACACAGAATGCAGATACAGCTTCCTCACACTATTTGAGGACAGATACTGCAGAAACCTGCAGCTTTTGCTTTTTTTAGATTGCAGAATATAAAGCTAGTTTAATGCTGAAGCACCGGTGTTATTTTTAGAAGGAGAGAATTATTGTGCTGATAAGAATGAAGGAGTTATTTTCTCAGGGCACCAAAGACTGCTCTCCCTGAATTCTCTCTCCTTTAGTAGGTAAAAAGGCAGATGAGTGAGAAATCTTTCCTAAGGACAGTTAAAGGAAACTTAAGACTCAAGTTTCAGGCAACCAAATTGGGCTAATAATTTAATGGGGAGAGATGTTTTTACTGCCTACTTTTTTCCCCTCTCCAGTCTGCTCTTTGATGTTTTTCTTATTCTCTTACCTCAGCTCCATCTTAAGCATACCACATCTTTCAATAAATCCAGCTAAATCAGAGAGACACACACAGATCACAGGACAGTTCTTTCTCCCCTTCCCTTTCTTTTGAAAAACTTATGCTGGGAAAGTTGAAACCACAGAAAGATCACCTGACTAAACCAGGAGCGAGTAAGTCAGACACATAGTCAGAATCACCCACTACCACTGCAGTGAGTCCATGGGTGTGTCGGATCCGTGCAACTTCAAGTGGTATGCTTGGATATCAATTGGGCTTGAAGTCCAACATTACTGAGACAAAGAAATTAACTTTCCTTCCCCATTTCCACTTACTTTGGAGAAAGAATAAACAGGAAAAAGAGGAGAAAAAAGAAGGCTCTGTATTAAGTGACAAAAGTTACTTTGGGGATTCTGAGGATGTTACTGGTACCCCTATTTGTGGTAACACAGGCCACCACACTGAGATAGAGGGCTCAGCTCTCAACTGAAACTGGTCTTCCTTTTTAAGCCTTCAGTTCTGTTGGAGGCTTCGTGGTCTCTGCAGTGGAGATACTAGGTATCACTTATCCAAACGGGCAAGTCACTTTATCTGGGCAGTTACCTCTGTCATTTAAGCAGATACCAAAGGGCAGGGGGAAGGGCAGGGGAAAAGTTAAAGTCCACAATCAACAGGAACTATTCTTTTTCACAGTAAAAATATTAAACAGCCCATTAGACACAGATAAGACCTATGTTCCTTTAAGGGCTTGTCTCAGCCACATGAGAGTCAGGCAGAAGAGGAAAAGAACTTGGTCCTACATCCAGTGTCTTCGCCATTCTGCAAATATGTATCTTTTTGTCTCAGCTAGACTTTCACTGAAACCTGTAACTCAATGTGTTTAAAGTTACAGGTATCAGGGAAGTTCATATTATGCACTGCCTGCATTTTTCAGAATTTTCAGGAAGTAAACAAGCCCAAGGGAAAATAAAAAGTCTGGCAACCCTCCAGCACACTGAGGCACCAGATAAGTGCATGTGTGATCCAAATGCTACACAGGGTGAGAGGGAGAGAATGGAAAGGTATGTAAATTGATATTACACTGCAGAGCAAAGTCAAGATCCTACCTTCCCAGGTAATAACTTGGGACAGCAGTAGGGAGAAATCCTCATACTTTCAGGATGGCCCTCAAGTTATATGATTCTGCAGTCCTACTTTCAATGTATTTTGCTTCTCTTGATTACTCAAGACTACTTAAAATATGCCCATATGTTTCATACAGACCACATCATATGCATAGTGCAAAATTTTTGTCTAATTATAAAGATTTTGTAATTACAATTATTCAGGCAGATAAAACTGCTTCACTCACCATAAAGCAAGAAAGTTTAAGCCTCACAATAGCAGTTTGATAAAACTCCTGATCTGAATAAAGATTGCTCCCAGTAGATTACACGGATCCACTATCATTCTGCAAAAGCTCTCTCTCCTGTAACATTACCCCAGAGCAATGCATCATTCATTGTAATTTTGCTTTCAATGGTATTCAGCTATAGGTACCACTGCTATCTGAAGCATCCAGCGAGAGAAAAACGTTGTTCGCTATGTTTATACTGATGCTACAAACATCAGCCAAAAAATTCAGCCAAGCGGGAATTAATGAGCTAGGCCTGACCACTACCCACCGAACATGACAAGAAAGTGCTTAGATTGCTAAGTACTGACATTATTTGCTTAAGACGCAAACATCCAAAATCAGTATTTCCCACAACTCACCAAGAAGTGTATCTCCAGAGAGTAAAGATGCTTCCCAGGCTGCCAATACAGAGAGGTGTCACTTCTTTACGAAGTGAAACTGCCCATTCTCTAATCGATAACTGACATGATTGCTCTTTACACTGTCTCATTACATAAAAGGAGAGAGTTAATGCGAATTGGCAGGACATTAAGTGGTTTCAGTAGAGACTGAAATAGAAGAAAGTAACACTGGGAGTGGGCTGACATTCGCACTAGCCAGGACAAGCATTGCAGTGCTGTGGCAGTGTGCTGTGGCTGTGTCGGTTCAGTCCCTGGCCATCACCGAGGCACCGCTCCTGCCCCGACACCCGTCTCTCCCTGCTGCACACGGACACTAATGAACGCCCCGTTCCGCTTCCAGCCTACAGCTACGGCGGTGGTTCGGTTCCACCGAGACCGCACTCAGCCTCACAGCGAATCCCTGCCCTGCTGCCGAGCACCACCGTGCCTCTGCAGGACCCTGGATGGATGAGGTGTGTTTCCGTGGTGACGACCCCCTTCCAGGACAGCTTCCCGACCCATTAGGGATAACAAACGCATCCCAGGCTGCACGTATCTACCAGACATCTACCTATCCAGCACTGGCTTTCGCCACAACCGATTTTCATTCGACAGATTAGGTTAGGGAAGGAAGAGTAAGGACATCAGAGAGAAGAGGGAGTTCCAGATGTCAGGGGATAAGCTGCAGCAGCTCCCTCCCCCCGGGGCTTAACCTTCCCCTCCGGGCCCGCGGCAGAGACCAGATCCCCCCGGGCGGGCGCGGGAGGCGGGGGAGCGGGCGAGGGGGAGCAGGCACGGCAGGGGCTACGGGCCGGCAGGAGCCCCTCTCCGGGTGGTGCCGGCGCGGGAGGGAGGGGGAGGCGAGCATG